GCTTAACTCCATCTCCTCTGACCTGCCATTTGCTCTTGCAGCTTTTGTCACTCTCCCAGATCTTTCTGCTCATTTTACACCAAGAAACTCTCCTGAACAAGCAAAAAAAAATCCCTTTATTTCATTGAAACACATAAATCTGTTTCCTTTAACCATTCTCTTCACTCATTTCCCTTTTTTTTTTTTTAGTGGTTGAGAATCATCCAACACAAATCAAATGCACTTCACTCCTATGCTGTTTTAGAAAAGCACATTTAATGGGACAGATGGAAAGCCTGAAAAGCAAATGGAACAATTTCAATCATGTATTGCTAAATCTGAAAAATCCCGTATGACAGTAAATTCCTCTGCCAACTTTCTCCTGCTTTCTTCCTCATCTTTGCAGATTTATGTCTAAAACAGTGATGGTTTCAAGAAAAAAATTAAAGTAATTCTGTTTTCTGACATTTCTTCAATAATGCTGATGCAAACTAGACTACGCATCAGAAATGCTTTTGATGAGATGGCTGATCTATTAACTGTCTTCCATATGGAGCTGGGGCTATTGCAGCTGAACTGGTTAACATGTTAATCAATCCTGCTCTGGCAAGCTGAGGGACTGGATTCTAGAACTGGAGACCACTGATGCCGTATTCTTCCTATGCTGTTTCAGAACTACTTCATCTTCAGGATGTAGTTGAGGAAGATACAGAAAGGCCCAGTAACCTTGAGCTGTGCTGTCACATTGCTTGATAGAAAGCAGAAATATCAGTAAGTAAAAACAAAACCAAAAAAAAAAAACCTGGAAAAAACCCCCATGAACCAGAATGATTTGCAGAGATCAACTGGCTCCCATGCAACTACCTGTAAGCCTGGATTTAGGCACAAGGGGAAAAAAAAACAACTTGCTGCCTCTTTTCTGTACATTTTTGTTGGCAAGAATCAGAAGTCTCTAAAGGATGAGATGAGAATAGAAGCCTGTATGTGAACTAAAACTGCCACTCTTTTCTAGAAAAAGGCCTCGGATGTGTGTGGACTATGTGACAGTGTACAAGCCACATTTGGCCACAGTGCTTGACTGGGCAACAGCAAAAGCGGGTATTTCTTCAAGTGACTGGCTGCTCTGGGGATGAAAAATGTACTGCAACAGGAGTTGCTAACTAACTCAGGAAGAGAACCTGGAGGCTCTCCACTGCTCAGCCTCCTCCTCCAAGTTGGGGAGCACTGTGACCACTTCCGAGGCTGCTCACACCCTTCCACAGGCTGTGGTGCCAGGAACACGTGCTCTGAGAGCTGCTCTAGCTCCTGCTGCAGTAACAACTCTGTTAGTCCTGCCCAGGTGCTGCAAGCGTAGGCGCTGCTCCCTCTTCTCTCCTGTGGCAGGAGCCAGAAGCTGTGAACTTCTGCACAGAAATACGTATCTCCAGCATATAGAGCAGGAGGGACTGTCCTCTTTAGCCAACGCAGGACTGCTCCAGTGCGTGAGGATACTGATCCCTCTCTGCACCTACAGCCATTGAGCAGAGAGGTCCTGAGACTCCTCACTGGCTTTATCAGCACTGAAAAACTCAAGCTATGAAGGGCTGGGCCATCACCAGCTGCTGGGGAGATACTCTGAAAATTGCTTCCATTCCTGAACACCAGAAATGCCCTGCAATGAACTGTAAAGCACTCATAACTGTTATATTATAACTTGGAGTATACACATACTCTTCTCTTTCTACATTTCCTGTTATTTTCATGCCACTATTAGAGAGATATCTTCTGTTTCACTGGATTTTAGCATTTATAGTCATTAGTGAAAAAATAAGTATTTCTCTTCAAACAAGTTTTCTCTTCTGGATCAAAAGGTGAATGCACATTTAGTACTATACAAAATAAATACTACACAGGGTATGGAATATAGAGTTTAGATTACAAGCTGTAAACAGACACTGCTTTGAAAAATGCTTTATGGGACTGATTCTAGGATGCAGGATTAGCACAGTCTTTTACTTTAGAGCTTGTAATTCTGTTTGCAAAATCACTTTCCATAAGACTTACAGAGCCTCAACTGATTTTTAGTAAATGTAGTGTCCTGGTGGCAAGACATTTACATATTCAGAAGACTTTTTCAAATGACTGAATTCAAGATGTTCCTGCAACTCTAAGCATGTTTTATAAAAAGTGAACTCAAAGCTTTTTATGATATGTACTGGGGGAAAAACCAAGAACATGGCACTTGTGCTACAAGAATATATACATTATTCTTATCGTTTGATAAGGAATGCTTTATACATTCCTCACGCAGCAAAGTGCAACCGTGTCTCAGCAGCTCTTACCTAGGTCTGACAGCACTTTTTGTCCTGTTGAAGTAAGTCTTTCAGCATTGTATTCACCAAAAAAAATCAAGACAGTATCATACAATGCAATATGAATCAAAAAGTATGATCTTTCTGTCTAGAACTATTGCACATGTCACTGATGTTAGTGAGGATTTTTCTTTCTAAATCTGACAGTTATGTGCAACAAATTAGGTAAAGCTTAGCACTGTCTTATTTGGACATCCACTTTTGTTTCCAGCAAGGTGTCTTCCATACCGCAGTGTAAAGAGCAAATTTCAGTGTACTGCTGAAGTCCAATGAGAGTTTTAAGTCTTGCTTCAGGAGCAGTCGATTGCACAGAGAGGTAAGCAGGGAAAAAAAACCCCCAGTTTTTTTCCATACTGCAGCGAAGCGTTTAGAGATAATTTTGTAATAAACATGGTAGCATCACCATGCTTCACCTGGCATACAGAAGAGATTATACTGACATGAAAATGGAAATCACTTAATTGAGAAAGAAAAATCAAGGCATAATAGGGTCTACATACTGTGAAGCCTTTTATATAATGCAACAGACCCTCCACCTACATTTCACTTCTTGTAGAACTTGTGCCATTTCACCAGATATATCCATGATTCCAATTTTAATAGTTGGCAACCTTAGGCTTCAGATTCTCTCTTCTTCTTTCCATCTTCTCCTAAATCACTGTCTTCCGACTGGCTACTGCTAAGGACAACAAACTGTCCTTCTCCACTGCTCTGGTTCGATCTGCTAGAAGCAGCTATCAACCGGCTTTGCTCCTCTAAGTCCTAATTTGAGAAGAGAGGGTTGGGAAATCAGAAAAGGAATGTTAACTTTAAAGCCATGTCCAATTGAAACAGGATACCATTGCTATAATTTCTAACCTATTGTTTAATTCTGTCAGTGCACAGCTTTCTGTACAGAGGGAATTCAAAGACTGAATAGGAAACCAAAACATTTGCATTTCTGGAGTTGGTATCACTAGAAAAAGCTAACACATTAACCACCTCTACCTACAACCCATAAAGCACAGCAAGACAAGTATCTTCATCTACAGCCTGCTCACTGCAGCCCCTTCCTCACTGTAACGGAACCCTCACCAGCACATGACATCATTTTGGGCCTGTGACAGGTGTTTCTTCAAGCACTGCTCTGAAGTATTCCTATAAGGATGGTTTTTAGTTTATCCCCTCAGAAGAGCTCTTTTTAAAAACTACTGTACAAAATTATACAAAACCTGGACAGGAAATACTTCAAATTAACTTAACTCCATAATGTTCTGTGAACTTGTACTAAAGAATATGATAGTGGTGCTTTGAGTACAAAACTGCAAAAGTAAGTAGAAAAAAGAATATTAAACAATGATGAAATATACCTTTTCAATTTGTTTTTGCTTATTAAGTTCTTTTTGTTGCTTCTCCTTGACTCTATCTATTTCTTTCTGCTTCTCTGATGCTTTTCGATCCTAAAGGGCAAAAATGTAAATAAAGTAACAACAACCTGAGATATTTGATACAGTACTGATTTATATGAAATTGTTATATCACTGTTTTGATTATTCCTCCTTTCAAAGTACTGGTATGTTTGTTAAAGGTAGCAAACCAAATCCTATCTTGAATATTGTTCCACAGTAGATATTGGTCAATCTTTTATCTTGGGATTCTAGAAAGCAAATTCCTTAAAGTACATCACAGCAATATTACTGCATCTATGAGCACCTTGCAGAATACAAGCTATTACACATATTAAATGTAGTGTCTCCCTTACATTCACAAGTATCCCTTGCCCCAAAAAGATTCTTACCAGTTCTGCATGAAAAGCTATCTGTTTTGCCAGTCCAACAGAGTCACAGATCTAAACATAAAACAGATTGGAAATAATCAAAAATATTCTAATAAAAATGCCTTAAAGATTAAGCCAGATTCCCAAATTCGGTATGACAGCATATTAAAGCAGTTGCAAGTACTCAGTGTCAAGTTTAACTGTTTTTCAGTACATAACGGAAATGCTCTCCCACATAAATCCCTCAGACAGCTTGAATGGATCTAACATCTGGGAATCCATGTCAGACTCAAACCCGACAGAACGACAACCATCACCAGTACCTTTTCCCCTTCGTTATTTGACTCAAATATATAGCAGACGGAAGTTTGGCGGTTCTCGACTCTCCCTCCTGAAGTTCTAAGCACAAATCCAAAAAGGCGCTTATTCTCCTGGTGCGTAGCATACAAGACTACATTGGGCAAAGGGAACTGCCAAAAGGATCAAACATGGAGATATTAAAACTGGTTCCAAATATTTTTCTATATGGGGTTTCAATATGCTGCATAGTAATTACTTCAATATCGTTAAGTGCACAGCCACACCAGAAGTAGTTACAACCTGACCAAACACGTAATTATGAAACACAAACAGCAGATAAGAAAGCAAGAATTAAATTATTCAAAAGACAGGAAAACTTCTAAAAAACACTTCATGTAAGAAAAGGGGACCACATTTGTAATGCCATACAGCCATCTTCCTACATGTGAATATATTTCATTTCTTTTTTATTTTCTATAAAGAGACATCATTCACACAAACTGCATTCTTGACTAAGCTTTCATTATTTGCTCTGAAGTAAAGGCAGTACCTCTAGTGCAATTAGTTCAGCTCTCCTGAATTATATAAGCAAAAAAACCCACCAAAAAACCCCGAAACAACCCGAAAAACCTAAACTCAAACAAACCACATACTTTCATTATTTTGTTACCAAAAAACTATTTTGCATTCTCATTCCTAAAAGAGGGTGGACTTAAAAGTTTCCAAAGTATCTTTATTTAGAGTTACCAAAGGGTAAGTTTGTAAAGTCTGAAGGCCCCTACTGCAGCTGTAATGAACCAATAGGATGAGGTTTTCCCAACCTTAAATGTACACATTTAGAATACTGGACATGCACTCAGTTGGCATCTTACCTGTAAAAGCTTACAGCTTTGGGGCAGTTTTGAACTTAGTGCCACAAAGATGAAGACAGAAAAAAGCACTACGTGAAATATCAAGACATTTTCACATGCTTAGGATTTCCTTTTATGGAAGTGAAAATAACTCAAGAGTCCCTAAAAAATTGCATGTTTTTAAAAGGATACCCAGAGAAATTAAACTACAGAGCATAAATCGTGCATGGAGAAAAGGAGGTGGAGGAAACAGATTTGAAATACGAAAAATAAATAAATTAAGCTGGTCATAATTTGATATCCTGTGAAGAATTCAACTTATTTCTTTCAAGTGCATTTTCTATAAAGAATTGGGGAAAAAACCCCAAAAAAACCAAAAACCCAGAAACCGTACAACACACTCAATGTGATTATGCATTGAAAAACAAATACATGAAACAAAACCAAAAAACTGAAGACCAAGCAAACCCTTTTGGACTTCAAACTATAATGTTCCTCTCTAACAATATAAATATTTATAATCAAACACATTTTTAAAACACAATATTCTGCTTTCCTAAGGTTTTACCCTATCAAACTGGGGAGCAGTTTCAGAAGCCTATTTGACCTACTGGAATCACTCTTAAACCTGATTTGCAAGTGTTTTTCTGTCTATTTTTAAATGTCTGCATTAGTCTCCTAAATTCAGTGAAAATTTGTCTGGAGATTTCATGCTGTCAGTGATTTTTGCTAACATCTAATAATATTTTTAAAATAGAAGAATTACAGTGCTGGATATTTATCTTAAAATGTAAAGTTACTTACTCGTAGTCTTGTAACTTGTGTCTGTGGATCAATTAACCTAAAAATTTGTTTTTGAAAACAAACCAGAAAGTAAATTTTACCAAAATGAAAGAAGATCATTCCGTAAATAAACATCAGAAGAAGTCAGGAAGCAAACTTACTTTAAACAGTCACAAGTGACTACTAAATGTGATTCTGTCATCCTGAAAATGTTATGGATGGCACGAGCTGCTAGTATTTGACGCATTGTTTCATACACGACATCTGGACTTCCATCAGACTTCACCTCCATAGAGCCAAGAAATCTTACAATAAATAACTGATGAAGAATTGAATCTAAGATAAAGAAAAGTACTGAAAAAGTGAACTCCGTTTTGGGTTTTCCATTCAAAACCAAAGATGGACTGCAGTCAGAAAAACTCCAAACTTCTACTAACTTGGAAAGAGATTTCTCATACTTAGGAGTCAGAGGTACAGTTACTGAATAGCAAGTCACACGTCTTTTCATTTGGTTTAATACATAGCAACAATGCAATGAATTAGTTTTAAAGCAGATTTTTTATACAGTAGCCTGATTCAACTCAACTCCTCTAATTCACTGCCAACGTAACTAAGCATTCTAAAACTGGTGTTAAATTAGAAGAGGGAAGCTACGGATTAAAAATAGGAAAATAATTTTTAAATTCTATTTTTTACTTTGCATTGAAATAAATTTTTTGCTTTACCTTCTGTTTCAGATTTTGAGCCTCCAGATTCACCAAAAGGATTTGTGCGTCTATTAAAACATGAAAACATTAAACCAGGAGTCAGATTACAGGAACCACTAATGAGTATTGTAGTCATCTCATGCTGCATCAAATATGAACATGCAATGATTTCACAGACTTGTAATCCAGAGGAATAATGTATGACAAATTGTAAGAACGAGCAATTTAATCAGGAGTCAGACATAAATTGCTGTATTTGAGGGCACAAATTATGGGAAAAATACCAGATGTTATTGTCCTATTGCTGCCACAAAGAATTTTGCTCACATGGTTTGGTTTTTTTTAATATCTGAATTAAGGCCAAGTCAAGAACTTGTTAATATTTGAAAAGGTGTAGTTTTAAGGGATGAAATTTCACAGAACAGCTTCAGGAAGTACAGCCAAAAGCAAGTCCTTTCAGGACTCCACAGAGCAGCACACTTCTCATCACTGTCTCAAGTTGCTGAATTACTTACTGAAGAGAAGTCACTGGTTTTGTTTCAAATGCAGCTTTCTGAAAACATCACTCCTAGAGGGTCAAGAGAAATGTGGCCATTTCTGACTCTCAAAGACAGAATTGCTATCAGATACAATGAAAAGTGAAAATATTCTAGGCTTCCAAGTCTACATCTTTCAAAAGCAGTAAAGGAATGCTGAAAAGAGTAGGAGAAAAGGGGAAATGTCATTAAAACTTCTAAAGAGGAAAAATCTCTCTCTTTGGCTAACTGGTAGCTGAAAAAATATTGTCAGGAGTTCAGTAAACTTCAAACTAGGTTTACAGGGGAGAAATGAAGTTGCCACCTCTCAATATTTAGTGTTTTAAAAGTAAAATTCAGAACTAAGAGAAAAAAATATGTCAATCTCTCTTGTTCAGTTACACGTCTTACTGACTGCCAGGTCTATCTTATCAGAGAAATCTTTTACCCATGAGATGTCTGCCTAAAAGTATTAAAATTGTTCTAGATTGAACTCTGAAGTCAAGATGGCATTGCTGCACTGTTTATATAACAGACTCAACCAAAACTCATCCTATTAAACGTTAACCTGTGTAAATACAAGAAAGGAAAATTCTTACTATTAGCATCTTTTATTGCTCAGACTTTTCTTGTAATTTAAGATTAGACTGGAACAGTAAATGCAAAATCTCACGTGATCTCTCAACAGGCAAAAAAATCAAATTTAAATATATGTCATCAGTATCAGAAACTAAGGAAAGTTTTGGTTTTTTTTAATAATACTTCTAAAGTAGGATGTTGCCTATCTATAAAAACACTGCAGTTCTTTATTGATAGTGATGGTTAACTGAAAATACTGAGCAAAACTCTGTATCATTTCTGCTATGAAAAATGTGATTTTCTAGAATGGAATTGTAACTGATGACATAAATTTAGCTGAAGTATTAAGCCTTCTCACTTCCTGGAATACAGTTCAAGTCTATTTTAAATAACTATGCTCTTAAAGATCTAGTTAGCCAAATATCTGCTATACCAAACATCAACAAAAAAAACCTCTAACAAAAAACTGAATATATAATTTTAACTCTTATGTATCTGTGAAGTGCAAGTGAAAATTCAAATATTTTTCTAGAGGGCAGGGAGGGCCGCATTACTGTGACTAGAGCCACATAATGAGTTTTCAGCTTTTTGGCTTCTTTCTGTTGTTGTTAAGAGCAGCTGGATCTGCAAATATGTTTTCTTAATACCTGAATTCTGTAAATACAATTCCAGAAATGCAGTGCAGGTTTACCAGTTTTGTTATTATTATTTTTGAATTGGATGTTTACAAAAAAACGAGTAGGAAAAAAATGTTTTTGTATTTTGGGAAGAGCTCTTGGACAACTTTAACTTGTCTGTATATGAAACTACTCTAGAAGCCTAGATCATTTTCACTCACCTTTCAGGTTAAGAAGAGTGTCATCGTATGCCATCATCACCTGGAGACAGGGCTACCAAATTTCTCTTGAATTTCCAAGAGGAAATAACCCAAGCTGCTGGGTGAGCAAGCAATAGGAAAGGAAAATACTTTGTGAAACCAAAAGATTAAAATAAATCGAGAAATAAAAGCATTAGCTGTAAAAGCAAGAAAAGCTGCTGCTAAATAGAAGAGTACACCTTGAATCTAGTGCACGTAATTAAGCCATTTTTTTTACAGCTCTATTTAACAATATAAAAAAAATTGTTTTGATTCACTGGGCACTGCAAATTTTGTGACATGAGTCATGGCAAAGGCGTGCGTTTTGGAGCTGCAGCCTAAACACAGTTGTCTTGTCTGTTTGTTTTTAAATTAGTAACATTAACTTTAGGAATTTTTGTTCTTCTCGCTAAATTTCCTACCTGCCTGACTGCGCTGAAGATTTTGCTTGACCAGGCAGATCTTCACTAACTGGAGATATTATGTCAAATTGTATAGGAGTGTCAGGGGCAACAAGGGAATCCAAGGAAAGCGCCGATAAAGCCGTTGATTCAGATCCCAGTGACCCTGTGCTGCTAGTACGAGCTGCAGGAGGACGAGATTGTCTGCAACAAAACAAAAAAACAAAATTAAGATATCTGAGTTTCAGGTTGGGTGCTAAAAAATTAAACCATATAGGAGACCTACAACATTCCAAAACTTGGACATAAAACAAAATCTAAAAACCTGAAGATGATCAGGGTAAACAAGTTACTACTTGCCTTAATAATGACATCAAAATGTGTTGTATTTGGTATGTGATTTTCTACCGATGTTAAAACAATCTGAGGTCTGCTTCCAGGAAAATCTCAGTATGATTTCATACAACAAACCAGACATGTGATACAACAAACAAAACCATCTCATCAGCTGGAAATTTGGATTACTGGTAAGAGTGGATGCTAAACAATGCTAAATAGGTGAGTTGAAGAATTTTTCCTCTAGCCTATCAAAAACTTAGTTCTGAACAGAGAAAGTTTTGTTGCTGGTTTTTTTCCTGGAATTTTATTCAGGATTCTCTTGATAGATAGTGAACCTGTAGTTCATTGTCTTACACAGCTGGCCGCATGCTCTCATGCCTCTGCTGAAAGGAAGGAGATGGAGTAACAGCCTCCAGGGCTGACTGATTCACACGTGCAGCGATTTCCTGCAAGAGAACGACGGGAAAAAACAGCTGAAAACATTTTCCTCAAAATAAGCTTTAAGATTTTAGTTTTATTTATATGGAATTAACGGAAGTTATAAACTCAGTCCTTTGAGAGCATCTTACATTCCTTAATTTTCACTAACATAGTTGTTGGGCCAATTCCCCTAATTTAGCAAGTAAAAATCACAATGTAAATATGCATTAATATGAATTTACTATATGAATATATATGTGAGCCATATAAATGACATCAATTTAATTACCCAAATTCTCTACATGAAACAATCAATTTCTAACTCTTCAAAAGGCAAATAACTCTTTCACAAAGTGATGTGTCTTTTGTACAAAGTTGCTATGCTCATCTCATTCCCAAGATTGTTGGTTCCCTCTAGCAGAAATCAGATGTATCCACCTGAATAGCTATTAACTTGTAACAAAGTATCACATACAAAATACAAAGACAGGCTCTTGAAGATGTCAGAAAGTTAAACCAAGTAAGTCACATTTTGTAATGCTTTCTATATAAGCATTTAGATGAAGCAGACACTGGACTGTATGCTTTCATACCATGAAAGACCTGTAGGAAGCACTCAGTTTAATTCTATGCTATCCAGTTATATCCAGGTGGTCTTTTGAATTTTCTGCATATGTACATCTTACCATATTACTGATACGATAAAGTTTATTGAAGTTACCTCAGGGTTTTCACTTAGATAGATCTGTTTAGATATGTTGTTTATGGTGCATATCCACTGAAAAAGACAAGAAAAAATTATTTACTTTTTTTGTATTTTTTAACAGACTTGAAATACCTGAGTTGGCTGTTTCGACACTTTTTTCACTTTCTTTGTAACTTCAGGGAGCCAAACGAGTATTCTGCATACCCAGTTAGTCATTAAATACACTGCTACCTCCATACTATACCTCACAACATCAAATTTTACTTGAAAAAACATTTTAGTCCCAGTGAAGACTGAAACTAAAGCTTAAATCATGGATGTAAGGCATTAAAAAAAATAATAATCAGGATTCTCTGTACTCCATTATTCTGTGGCTGCAGATGACATTGTTTCCTCAAGACCTTATAAAGATTCCATCTGCCTTTTGTGGCATTTGCCCATTTCTTGCATCTCTAAGCTACAATCTATTTTCTCCTTGTGCTATGGAAAATCATCTGTTCCTGCTCCTTGCTTTTCAGCTTTTCTCTGAAGGGGCAAACTGTGCTACTCCACTAAACCCCAGGTGTTAGGGTTGTCACCTCAGCCATCTAAAAGACAGCACAGCAGCTGCAGCCCAGAAAAAATCACAAATTTGAGCTGCTAAAACTGACTATACATTGCCTTCCTCTGGTGAGGCATCTGAGGGCAAATGTTTCAGAGTTAGGCTACTGGAAAACCTCAACAGAGCAAATGGACCAGGGACAACCTGACACAGCCCAGCTAAAAACTTAGAAATAGCATGAAAGGTCATTTTATATCAATGTAACACTGAAGGGATTTGAATCCAGGCTTGAAAGCACCCTATTTTCTGTATTACCTTATCCAGCTGCTTGCCTAAATATCTTTTAAATCAACAGTGCTTTTAAAGCATTCTTTCCCATCCTGCCCCTTACTGAAAAGTCTATATTGAATAATAATGCAAACACACATATTTTTAATTAACAAATACTTTACATCACTTAGTACATCTGCTCCATTGTGACTGGACAAATCTGACTGTATTCGCAGGCTATGACCAGAACGGTCTATGGGTTTGGCCCACCTGTGCAAGCTGCTGGAAAGCTGCAAAAAGCTGTCCAATTAAAACGTAAATCCTAATAACTAGAAACTTCTTTCTTTAGATTAGTACAAGCTTATAACATTAGGCTGTTATTTGCAAAAAGTCTAGAGAAACTTTTACTTTAATCTTAGAAGAACGCTTAAAAAGGTAGGGAAAAGATAGCCCTGCTTGTTGGGTGGGGTGGGTTTTTTTTCCATTTCCCTTCCCCATCAATATTTGCTACAGTGTGTAAGTTTGCTGACCTAGGATTTGAATATTGACATTTCTCAGCTGCTATTAATCCATTGCACAGGCAAGTAAATCTGCACCACCAGACTTAGCAGCCATCAGTGATCACAAGCGGCTCTGAAAGCAGCCCCAAAGCACTTTATTTCACATGTCTTGATTTGACTTGTTCATGAAGTGTAAACAATTCCTATCGTGCATCAGGGGCAGAAAAAGTTTGTTCTCATTCCTCAACTGCCTGTTATCATTTTCTGTGTCCTAACCTAAGATTTCCTTTGTTTTCCATTCCTGACAAGCAGGCAGGAAGAAAGAAGATTGGGAAAGCATGAACAGAAGAAGGAGAAGCAGCATTTGTCAAGATTCCACTACTGCTAGCTATTTTGCTGTGGGCCTTCTTTTTTTTTCCCTTTTTCCCTCTCTTTCTTCCATAATATCGGAAAGGACTTGGTGGCAACCAGAACTGCATTTTTTCTCTAGGATTTAAACACAGCAATATTTTGTCAGACTTCCTGAAACCTGTCATTATGGATGGAATGAGTTAAAAGTTCACTGCTTACCACCTAAAGAACATAAAATGAGCATTCCAACTACTGCTAGGAATGTATTCCTTCTGCACAGCAGAAAACCACTGGACTCCATGTGAACCTCCTATAAGCTTACCTCTTCATAATCTTTTTTACTCTCTGCCTGTAATATTGAAGACCTGAAAAACAGAAAATACAATTTTGTCCATTTAAAATGCATCACAGGTACATTCTGACAGGAAACTCCACTTTCATGTTTGTACATCGCAAAACAAATTAAGAAAGGCTAAATATTCTGTGTACGTGCTGAGTGCGGTCAGTATGTAATGGGAGAGGAAATGTGTGCTTTCACTTCAACTGAACAAAATTCTAATCACAGAATCACAGAATCGCTCGGTTGGAAAAGCCCTCTGAGATCATCACGTCCAACCGTTCCTGTCTACCCCCTAAACCATATCCCTAAGTACCTCGTCTACCTGCTCTTTAAACACATCCAGGGATGGTGACTCCACCACCTCCCTGGGCAGCCTGTGCCAGCTTCTGACAACCCTCTCAGGAAAGAACTTCCTCCTTATCTCTAACCTGAACCTCCCTTGGCACAGCTTGGTGCTGTTTCCCCTTGTTCTATCCCCCGCACTCACAAAATGCAATTTTATTTTTAATTTTAGTCTGAAATACCACTCAGCTACATTATAGAGCTGATAAACTAAAAAAAACAGAAAAAACCCCACACGTTACAAAGTTAAAAAGACATGCCAGATTTTGCTTCTGAATAGCCACAAAATCTATAAAGGTGTAATCTGGCCAAAGGTAGATTGTTTTTCTTAAACAGTGAGTCCAGTAATACATACAGGTAAGAGTAATTTAATACTTACTTTTTACCATCAAAAGATGTTATCTGAAAACAGTACCGCCTGTCTTCACAGTCCACAGCCATGACAGAACAATTGTCTATGTCCATGACAAGGCCCCCAGCTACGTCACCTCTTGCCTGGCTCATCAAATTTCCACCTTGAGTGAAGTAAAACTGTCTCTCCCAGCTGGAAGACACCAGCCCAGTCTTACTAAAGATAAAAAGAAGTTCTTACTTAGTAAATTAGGAGTTCAGCTGAGCTGTAAAAAGTAGAAAAACAAGAAAATCACTTGGAACAAACAGTCTGAGCACTTAAGTAAACTTCTTTCTCCTTTTAATGTTTTAGGTTAGCTTTACAGCTAAATTAGTCTCTTTCCATCTGTCGGTTGTTTCATTCTAAACAAAGGCAAAGAACACATGAAACAGTTGCCTTCTTAGCTTATGTTAAACTTAATTTAGAATAAAAAAGCATAAATACTTCAGTTTTCATGATCAGTTTTTATGGTACTGCTTTATGCAATGTGCATATTCCAATTATATACATTATCAGTATCACTGACAGGACCTCTGAACTCTGCACTTTTTAAGACTAAGTTTTGAAGATCTTCGTGTTAAGCATTAGCTTAGTCACATAACATACCTCAGTTTTCCAAGTCTTTTGTGCCATTCAGCAAGATTTCCAAAACTGTACTTAAAGCATGTTGGTTTTTGTTGTTCTTTGGGTTCCTCCCCCCCCACCACCCTGGTATAACAGAAGAGGAACACTCTGAAGCCAAAAATGAACAGCCCTTGCAGTTTAGCCTCCTGTTTTGTTCAGATACTCTCTTCAGTACTAATTGCTGCAGTTGTGTTTTACTACAGAAATTCCTGCCTCACTCAGTGAGTATGTTACTCTAACTGCTGCTGTAAAGTAATCTAATTTAAAAAAAAATCCTTGGAGCTTATTACATTAATTTTAGAAAAAAAATCTGAGTGTTACAACTTAATAACTGTGTAAATCAGCTGCTAGACTTCAATAACTGTAGTAACAGCTCCCTCCAGTGAGCTAGTCTACCTCCTTAAATTGAGAATGCCATTCAAAGTGCATTTTGCCTTGTGTCTCTTTAACCTGGCCATGCTTTATTAGTAACGTGAATCCCAAGCTTTAACAGACACTTACATAACAATCCTGATAACTGCAATCTTCTTGTTTTCTAATTACAGTCCAGTGAAATTACATCCCTAAACTATAATTTTTATTTTTGATGTGAAAATTCAGGCAAAATTAGACTAAAATGAGGATAACTGTGCTTTGCACCTGAACGACACTGTCAGTGTAACAATGAAATCAATGTTAATTAAGTGAAGGAGTCCAAAGAAAGAAACAGAACAGCTCCTATGTGCCTGACGTACCCAAGTGAGTATGTAAAATCAGCACACCTAACTTCAAAAAATATCGCATACTTCTTTAGTTTTCCCTTCCCCAAATTAAATATTCTGGAATTTTTAAGTATCAAGGTAGTCTTACTTCCTTGCATTGAGATAGCCAGCTTTCCGTGTTAGATTTCTATGAACAGGAAATTTCGTAGGATCGGGATCAGGCAGATACAGTGGATCACTAGCTACTTCCAAGTCCTCTATAGTTTGTTGCATGTTTTCTACTTCACACTCCATTTCCCTGCGAACGCTGAGGTAGAAGTATTGTTAAGAAGGATAATTTATAGAAACAGAAAAAATCACTGTCTTGATAATAGTCCAAAATTCAACAGAAACGACTTACTTCTGTACACTTGTGCCAATATTGGTCAAAAATTCTTCCAATTGCTCGGTAAGATTTTCTGAACCCATTTTAAAGAAACTTATCTTTAAAAAAAAAGAAAAAAGAGGAAAAGGGAGAATTTAGTCATCAATAAAACTGCATTAACAATTAACAGATGAAAACACAGGAGGTTAAAGTTTCTCAACGAAATCTGTTTTCATTCCTCATTCCCACCAAGGCTTCTCAATAAAAGGAGCAGAATGCATGATTTGTTTGCAAGTGGAGGTTGATGCTGACATTGCAGTGGGATTGCAGTGTGTCAGAGGGTGTGCACAGAGCCACCTGGAAGAAACACCAGACACTGGCAAGATTGGCTTCTTTTCTTTCTTAAAAACCAAACATACTGATGACACACTTCTGAAAATACAACTTAAGTCTCCAAAGAACATTTTCATAATTGTATTTTCTATTGCACCCATCCTCAAATAAACCAATCATGAATTCATTTATATTGAACAAAACCAAGGCACAATGATTTTTAGCATTCCAGTTCTTCCACACCCTTGACTGAAAACAGCAGTGATGTGATTTTGATAATTACCTCATCTCAGAGCAGCTGCCATAGCAAGGAGTTTAACTGTCCCCACATGGCTTTCTACAACAGTGCACCTCCACGTCAACCTGCATAAAAGTTTTCATCAGCTGTTCACATTAGGGATCCAATTGGAAAAAAGTACCCAGCAATGAAAATTTAGGCAGTGCATTAAGTTTGGCCATCTGAGTTTTGGGGGAGAATCAGACCTTTGCATTTGCCATGCAGACTTCCCTTCAAGATTGTCCAACGGCAGTGAGGGCATGTCATGATGAGAGTCATGTACCGGGTGGGAAATGACCAGCGCCAGCTAATGACTCTTCACAGCAGCAGCTGTGACAGCTACAGGGATGGGGATGGATGTAGCTTTTTCTCCATTTGCTTCCTTGGATTGCAAAAGAAGTTCTGCAATGGATTTCAGAACATCAACCTTCATGAAGCACTTCTACATCTTCTTTCAGACCTACAGCTTTCAGCATCTGAAATTACCTGAGCTTGCATGTATCCTAGTAAGGGCTCTAGCATAGCGATTTTCTTTTTGTACTGAAGAGTGTTTAATGCACAGAAATAATGCATCATAGTCTGATGCTGTTTTTTCCTGGAAGTATACACATCTTCTGTAACTTCAGCCTTGATCTAAAGAGACACAGACAGGGGGAGGGGGGAAAAAGGAATGTTTGAGACTTCTTGTGACTCTTCATCACGTAGAGCCAGCATGGAAAAAACACCACAGTAACGTTCCACCCTCTATCATCAGCAATTGCATATTCACCCTACAATTCCACTTCTCCCATTTATACATGAAAAATAAATACAGCATTCTTTTCTCCCTGGAAAATGTGGCTATTTCCTTGCAAAAATAAATTCAATACAGTATCACAATCTTATAGAGTATTTTCAGTGTTACAAGACAGGCATGTATTGGGGGAACCTGCTTTTCTGTTCTGAAGCAAACCAGCTAGACTGCCACAACATAGACTATCAAATTTCAGGTGGAATCTGCCATACACTGTCTTCCATCAAAATATGTATATATATTAGACGAAAATTATTTCTTATCTCCTTTAAGAAACTTCATAGTAAGTATTTTGTTTTACAAACCTTTTCATTTTCCCTTCTTTTTGACAACCGACTGTATCTGGTAATGGCAGCATCGTGGTCTAAGCAATCAAGAGAGAATTTATGATCATTTTGATAAATTAATGACTTAGGAAACAGAGCAGAAAACCTTTTCTATCACGGTCTGTTGCACAGCCCTCAGAATGCAAAGTTCTGTCATATTAAAACCTTTAAGAATATTTCTTGCCTGTTTATAATTACTTCACTGCCATGAACACTAAAAAAAAATCTAACCAGATGCACACACAGCCCAATCGTTACAGCTTTCCCTAAACATCTAATATCTTCAAAGACAGAAACTTTCTATAGTCAGAGACAACTTTCCATTATGAAAACTTGTATCTAATCTTTCTTGCTTCTACAGCAATGAAGCAATTTACACTAAGAGAAGAATCCTTAACCCTCACTGAAAATGTTCTCTACAAGCATATAGTACAGCTAGCTAAAAAAGTAACTTCTGACAACAGAAGAACTATCAAACTAATTTAGGGAGGTAAAATTTGTTTATTAATCCAGTCCTAACTTTAAAAAGTCAGCTAACAACTTTTTAATTAATTTTGGTAGCATAATCCTAAATTATTCAGTTATTATATATACATTTAAAGTATTGTAAAAAATACTAATACAAATACAATTTGCTTTAACACTTTGGTACTCAAAGCAGGGATTTACAAATGAACCACAGAAAGCTAAGTGCCTAAGTCTCACTGAAAAAATTACACCTTCACTGGTCACTTGAAGCCATGCAAATATCTTCACTAGTTTTCTGAGTAAATCTTCATAAGTTTTCTATCATCTTAAAATATCTATTTTACACTTACCATTGCTTGCAATTTGGAAAACTTCTTTTAGAGTTAGTATCTCTACAAAACAACATAGCACAATTTAAATAAGTCATTACTAACATAACATTTATGTATTACAGTTTCTCATGCAATGTTTCAATACTGAACAGTTGTAGTTCACACCTTGTTCAATACTGAATTACCAGCACAGGCACTGTACGACCAGGAAAGTCTGCTGCTACTTAGGGCCTGAGTATGTGGCTGTCTGGCTTACCCAGAAAGATGCTCTACGGCAGTGAGTTAAGGAGGAACTTCCTTTCAAGAGACTTAGAAAGAGATCGTCACTACAAATGCATCACCGATAGCTCTGGTCAGAGTTCTGGTCTGGGTTGGGGAAGTGGAAGCACAAGAAGCGAGGAAGTATCGCTGGATCAAAGGAAAGCCCCAAACACACACAGCCCTACATAAATTCAGTCATGTTCTAGATGGTTATTTAGTCTCACTGTATAAGGAAACAAAAAACGGTACAATACTCAGCACTTGTTCTGACCTTGATTGTGGTTTTGTGTCGTACTACAATATAAAACAAGCAGAGAGCTACGTTCAACTTCATGGTAAAGCAAAGACAAAAAAGCATGGAAAACGTTATAGAAAGTGCCAATGAAGTCCACAGCGACACATGGTATCATTAAATAGCCATTTAACCACCATCAGTAAGTGGTTAAAAACTTCCAGTGGGAAAGTTTAATTTGTAATTATTCCAGATGCTTCTTCACTAAATATCAGTGGGAGATTTTCCCAGGTTCTAAGGAGTTCAACACAGACAAATGTAAGGTCTTGCATCTGGGAACACATCATCCAAGAACTCAGCTGAGACTGGGTTGCACCTGGCTGGAGAGCAGCCCTGTGGAAAGGGACCTGGGGGTCTCGGTGGATGACAAGCTCAACATGAGTGAACAGTCTGCTGCAGCTGTAAGGAAAGCCAACAGGAAGCTGGGTTGCATTAAAAAGGGCATCACCAGCAGAGACAAAGAAATCATGATCCCTCTGTACTCAGCACTGGTCAGACTGCACCTTGAGCACTGTGTCCAGTTTTGGTCCTCACCATACAAAAAAGATGAGGACAGGTTGGAAAGGGTCCAGAGAAGGGCCACGAGGATGATGAGAGGACTGGAAGAGCTGCTGTATGAAGAAAGGCTGAGAAAACTGGGCCTGTTCAGCCTTGGGAAGAGAAGGCTTAGGGGGCACCTTATGACCATGTACCAGTACATAAAGAGTGGTTACCAAGAAGAGAGAGACTCCCTTTTCACAAGGAGTCACATGGAGGAGACAAGGGGTAATGGACACAAGTTTCTTCTGGAGTTCATCTGGAATGTCTCCAGAAGCAATTTTTTTACCATGAGATCAATCAGACATTGAACAATCTCGCAGAGGAAGTGGTGAATTCCCCTACATTGGTCAGTTTGAAGAGTCGGCTTGACAGGGGCTGGCTCATCTCATTTAAACTTTTACCTTGGGAGGTTGGACTGGATGATCCTTGTGGTCCCTTCCAACCTGGTATTCTATGATTCTATGAGTAATATTTGCCTTGAGATACTCATGTTCCCTTGCTCAAAAAGCATAATCTTTTTATCCCATAATTTTGCAACAGACTATTGCCAAAGTCTTTTCCAAGATTCATGAAGAGCTAGAAGACATGTCGTTTTTATTTCAATTTCAACTTAAAATGTTCATATATTGGGTATATACACTCTAGGATCATAGAATCATTACTGTTGGAAGAAACCTTTAAGATTATCAAGTCCAACCATTAACTAACTCTACCTAATGTTCACATGAGGGATTTAAGTTTTTCTGGTTTTAACACTTATATTTGAAGCTCACCAGCTACACCGGTCTATTCACTTTAGCCTCTCGAGTAAAATCTATCATAACCAGACACATTCCATATAAATTTAGCCAGGCAGAATAATAGACAACTGTTACAAAAATAAGAAGGTGGAAGCATCTTATCCATGGACATGAGAAGTCACCTATATTAGGGTTACATCTTCATAATGTAAGAAATACAACTTTGGCACTTTGCCTTTTGAGTTTAGTCCCACCATTATATTGATGTAATGGTATTGTAATATATACAAATATTCCCTGAACGTGCAAATTATCTGAAAATTATTCTTTCCTAATGCTTACAGTAAGTGCAAAATTTTCATCTTGAATAGATGATAAGTGCTTCCATAATAGAAGTAATTTTTTGTTGACGCAGTAACAATGTTAAGTTCTTCAACCATAATGCTCTCATGAATAAAAATAACTTACATTTTTTTAAGAACTGGGAGATGTATACTTTAGAGAGCTGGAAAATAAGTGGCATATTCTATTTAGTGAAACAAGAGCTATGTTGATTAAATGCTATTGTTTTGTTATTGCTGCTGTTAATAAAGAGTATTTGTTGGAGCACTCTACCTTTTAGATCCCTTTCTTTAAACTGGGTAATAGGAAACATCATTGCATCTGCAAGCTGCGTTGAAAGTACTGCATGGCAAGAGCTGAGCTGTAAAAGACAAAGGAGACTTTAGGAAAACAGTGCTGAGACTAAGTCAAAGCACAGCAAATCACGTCAAGATGGGCTGACATCGATTTCACTCAAAGAGGACACACGCGACTCGAACATAATTTTGCACATTCATTTTTCTGCAGCTATTTTTTTCTGGGTTCCTGATCTCATCACTAGCTTTTTATAGAAGACCTCCAGAGTTTAGCATTTGTTCCTACTTTTCCAACTTTATTCCAGGTTACTGGATCATGTCAAAAGATGACCTCATATATTCCGATGACTAGTCAGCTTATTTCTTCATTTTCCTGCCAGCTACATCACAGCCCAGCTTTCACAGGTTACAGAGGTAAAACAAATGTGTTCTTCCTTCCAAAGTGCTGTTTAAGTAGTCTTAAAAGTGAGGAGAGGGATGACACAAAAAAATACCGATCCAGATCTTAATGGTGCTAAGTTATCTTTCAGAAGTCAGTCCCTGTCTCCAATACACACAGCAAGAGGTTCCTCGGTCAGCTGGGTATCTGAAATCAGGCAACACAAATACCCTCATGAAAGCAGTTTCTGACTGCCATTCTGTAACGTTTTTTGGCTGTATCTAGAGGAATCTAAACTCCACTCCTTCTCACTATTGTACCGTCATTTTGCTGAATTGATTCTTTAGGTTATCTAACTTTAAATATCTGCTGCAATACACAAGCAGTGTAACCTTAAGGACAAATGAAAGCCATTTCTGTACCTCCTATGTTAAAAAAGGCTGGAATAATTAAACAAGTTTAAATCTATACATGACATTAGCAAAGGAAGTGAAACAAATACGAGCACTTGCCTCATCTATAACTTTTGCAAACTGTTGTAAAGTGGAAGTCATGACTTCATCATCTCCCCCTAATGGAAAGCGCTAAAAGAGAACACGAGGAGGAACGTTTGCAGTGTTACTGCCATTCACAAAAACACATCAATCGTATCTGTGATTGCACGGGGTATTCTCTTATTTTACAATATTATATACCTAAGGTACGCTGAAGCACCTCTCTATTATCCTGTGAAGAAGGAATATTTTTTTGGGGAAAAGTAGTAAAAATTATTTTTAAAATAATGTTTCTAAAATAGATTAACTAATAGATTTTATAATTTTAATATATTTTATTTTTAAAATCAGGAAATACGCAGACTTGACATCCATGAAGATTTTTATGCAGCTTTGCGAATTGTTTTAAAATCATCAAAACTAAAGCAATATTTGGTGTTCATCCTAAACTTCCAGCTCTTAAATTATGTCACGATGTGACATTGCTAAGCATCTAAAAGAGTTTACATCTGTCGTGCCTTGATGGAGGCAACAGAGACAACTGAAAAAAGAAATAATCCAGTTAAAACATTATTTGTGTATTTTTAAGCTTATCTCCTGACTGGGAAACCAGTCCAGAGGAGACACATCAGACAAGTTAAAAGGTTCAACGCTAATTTCATTCTTCTTTTAATTCACAGCATAAACATATACATAAAACACTTGGAAATATAAAGAGAGCCCCAAAACTTCTTTATTAAAAATTCTGAGCATCTTCTTCCCGTCTGTTGGATTCCTCCCGCCACACTCTGCACTTTTGGAGAAGGATTTATTCTCACAACAAAAGTAAATTAACGGTTGTTAAATGGAGACTGCTATGCAATCTCTTCTCTTTGCGATTAGTAAAATTAAAGCACTTAACATCAGTAAATAGGTTTATAAAAGAGAAACAAAACATCACCACCACCCTCAGCAACCCCCAAAACACTGATCCAGAAGTAAAGTATTTCAGAACTTACTAATATTCCCTGGGAGACAGAAGGCCACAAAAACACACAGTCCTGACCACACAAGACAACAATGATTTACGCAGTACCTGTTTCTCGTACTCCTTCAGAAGCTTTGAAGTCAGATGTGTTGCTGCACTCAATTCATTCTGATTTAAAAACAAAACAAAACAAACAACAAAACAAACCACAAAAAAACCCTCCAAGGTTGTTACTTTTTGATTTACGTTAATATAAGAGAAAAATCACATATCTGAAGAGCAAACTATTACAGACATGGAACTTAAAATCTCACGAGAGATTTTCAGAAAACCTACATCCTGCCCGGCCATTTCTCTAACATTTAAAGTGTTGCAGGTAATCAGCATTTACAAATACCAACTTCACAGCCTGTACTTTGTGCACTGATTTCTGTATTTTTCATTTTCAGTGCATATCTGCATTTAATAGTTTCAAATTAGCTGCCCTAGTTACTAAGTATTAGGAGTTTGTTATCTGTAAAGGGAAGAAAATACTCCAGCGAACCTCAGTACTACTTGGTTACAAACTGCTCTGTGTATGAACACAGACAGGACTGGATTAAAAGGTTCATGGTATGGAACAACTTCATCTTTCATGACGCAGTTGAAGGAGAAAGCACAGAAATTGAAAGCTAAATAGAAAGGTAGTAAAATAAAACTACATGGCAGCAAACCTACAATAAACACACTTGTCAAAGTAAAAACAACAGTAAAAGAAAAATATTAAAAGTAAGAGTAACAAACCAATAAAAAAGTCAAACAGGTCAAGTATACACAAATTAAAAATACAGCCATAAACTCAGTTGTTCAGAAAAACACAAAACAGGTTCTGCCTTTGGCATAAACCTGCAGTTATCTAAAGATGATGAGTAAAACATTAATACATTTTGGGTAAAAAATAATCTCCCACTCGGTGCACACTATTATGTACACTAAGAGCATGAGGGGAAACATTTCAGAAACACTTCAGAAATACAACAGAACTACCAGAAGACCAGGAAATCTTTTTACTTATCCTGAGAAATTCTGTTGCGAAAGAAATCACAAGAACTTAGTCTTCACCACTCCCTAACACAGAGAAAAAACCAATCAATTAATTCTTATTTTATTTCACTTCCACATTTAAAGAATGTGGAAGGTTAAGAAAAATATTGCCTATAATACTTTGAAAAAGGCAAGAAATGTGAAGTGTGGTTCAAAAGCTTTAGAACGCATTCAAGAACTCCATTAACGCTACCTGTGCATCATATATTCTATGCATGGCTTGAAATAACTGATTGATGTAATTGGAAATTGCAGCAGCATCTTCTTCAAACACTCCCAGCAAAGACCGGGTCTGTAAAAATGAGACAGCCAAAACACAAACGTGTCAAGTTAGAAAAGCAGTATTTCGATGAAACAGAATTTCAAAGTTAAACAGCATTGCTTCAGGTTTCACTACTGAAAAGTTTCTAAACCCCCCAGTGCTGTTCACAGGAATGGTATCTGCTGCATGCCAGAGAACCCTAAAGACATCCGAGCTCAGCCCCACTCCTGCTGTCAGGTTCACACAAGTACACACATACAAGGACAAGTGCCTAAAAAGCTCGGAACTGTGGACAACCACTGGGCTCACTACAGTACATCTCCCAGGAAAAGGATAAAGATGAGTACTATTAAATAGCAAGTCAGGTATGCACATTTCTTCTGCAGTGATATCAAAACAAAGGCTGTGGCTTTCTGGTGCCATCCATCCTGCGTGAAGAGCTGATGGCTGTGCTTGGACCTACAATTCACCTGTGCAGTAACAAACAGCTCTGTCATCAAAAGGCTGAGAAAGTAAAAGCCAAACAAACCAAACCAGTCCAACCTCGTTGTTCTTAAGATACATGTTTCTCCCCCTCACCACTCCACAGTGAAAGGGGGTGAAAAGATCCGTCCCTTTGCCCCTTCCTCAGCTTGTCAGTCACCTTGTTCAAGCTCGATGACCGTGCATCCTATTGCACTGCTCCCATCACTGATGAAGCTGCTTAACAGCATCCACCTCCAAATCAACCTCTTTATCACCGTCCACCTATCAGACTTCAAAACACTGTTCACTCTTCTTTAAAGCCGAACTACCCAACCAGTCTTTCCACCCAGGTCGCAGTCTGTACCTCTCCATTTTGGCCAGAAGGATGTTACCAGAGACTGTGTCAGAATCCTTGCTTAAGTCAAGGTAAATTACATCCACTGTGCTTCCCTGTGATGAAATGACTGACTCGGATGAAAAGGCAATCAGGTTGTTCAGGCATAATTTGCTCTTAAGTTTAAATGAGATGCTGACTCAGTGTCCTTGCATCCTTTCTGCACGTGGAAGCAATGTTACTCCTCGCCACAAGGATACTGAATAGCCTGCTTCCACCAAGACAAAAACCCAAAAGGGGGAAGACCAGAGAACGTAACTGTAACTCTGCACGGGCTACCTTCACAGACCCGTAGAACCACAGAATGGTTTAGTTTGGAAGTGACCTTAAAGATCATCCAGTCCAACCCCACTGCCACGGGCAGGGACACCTCCCACTAACCCCTCCGTTTGTTTTCCCTAATCTAAAATATTGGTTGGGATGCTTGGATATGAAAACAGGATCAAGCCCGCAAGACCCACAAAATAGACCCTTTAGCTCCAGTATCATTTTAGCACGAGGACTGCGCTTTCGGTTTAGGTTTACACTAAAATTAATGTCCAGACAGAAAATGGAAAGAATTGCAAGTACATAACTAGGTTTTTCCCAAAAATTATGACTGTTAAACACTTGAAATGGGAAATTCTCTTTCTTAGTCTTCCCTAGGCTAAATAACTATAGTTTCATCAAAGAGGAAGGGAAGGAACTTACGGGTCCTGGGAAAAGAATGAAAGAGCGACCTTTTAAGTGTGGACACCAGGAAAACCTCTGATGAGATCAGCAAAAAGCACTGGATCACAGCGCTTGTGAATTGTGGGGTGTCGTCATTAGAACGTCTTGCCAGGTTGAAGACTCGTCTAGAAATGTCTTAGACTTGATCCATATCCCCTTGAAGCAGAAAGGTCTTTTTCAGCTCCTTTTTTGATTTTCTGCTTTTAATGATCACCAAGGAGTACACATTAAACCTGTATAAAGCAAATTATTTGGCCATTCTTTTGACATGAGATTTTTTTATTTAACTTGAATAGACACCTGGTTGTGTCACAAACATCACACCGTATAATGCCTGCAAGACACTTGAATAAAAAAGCACCATCAGCACAATCACTGCAATGGTGGTTCTGGTTTATAAAAAAAGTTGAAAAGGGGGGTGGAGGAGGAAAGAGCAGAGGAGAACTCACAAGTTGGTCAGGTGTGGCAACGTGTTGTGTCATCCTAAGAGCTGTGACTCTCCCATCAAAGGAGACGGATGTGACAGAATGCAAAAGAAAAAATTACATAGTGCCATAACCACTGAATTATACACTCATGACATTTAAACCTGAACTTGGAACTTTAAAGGAATATCATGCAAGGTTTCTGGATCATGGTTACTCTTTAAAACTGAGCACTGTAGAATAAGAGCATATCCATGCTTTGTTGTAAAAACAGCAGTTTTTGATGTGCGGACTTCAAACTGACATTGTATCACACTGATGGAAAGAAAACCACCTGAATCTGTAAACAAGTTATGGCAGACTACTGCTTGGGGAAAGAAAAAAAGAAGAAGAGGAATAGAAGCAGAGGAGTTAGAGAGCAGCGTAGGGGAAAGGGACCTG